CCTCTGCCTTCTTTTTAATGAGGTTGCCCTATTCTCTATGAGTGGCTGCTAATGGTTCCCATGTCAGTGGAGTGCTGACTCCTTTCTGGGTTTCAGTCCATGCTATCCAGGGTGCTGAACCTATTTTGAAGATAACACCCAGCACCTTGGATAGCTATTTTTAAAAAATGACAAACTAAAAGCCAAGGTAGGTTCATCACCTCACTATCATGGAAGCTACAAACTGCCACTACTCTGCACAGAACAGCTCTATGTTTGAAAGAGCCACATTATGACCCTGACTTCATCATCATCAATATGTTTCTTGTGTTGCCAAAGGCCATGACAAAAAGCTTAAAATACACAAAACATTTAGTATAGAAGTTAAAAATCTTTCAAGTTACAGGTAAATTTCTAAGTTGCCAATATGAAATCAATTTAATACTTTGAGTTTCCATGGCAATTTGTGGCAATTTTCTCTTACTCTCTCTTTCTAATCGTTTTTGCAGCCAAGGCAAAAAGGGCCACTTCGTGTGTTACATAGTCACTGGTATCACTCAAAAGAAATTGATTATTATATAGGAGAGTTTCCACTTCCATTTGTTAGCAAGGGTGTTAGGAATCTGACTCTGGGGTTGCTATGCAAAGGACAAATTAGTATGTGATGCACAATGTCCTCAGTGGACATTGGCTGCAAATACATAGTCTGTTTTCAAATAGCATCTTATTATGACATTCATCTAAAACTGCAGTTATTACTTGAAATAGCAGTTCAGTGAAAGCAATTCTTAGGGTAGATGGCTTGAGTCTAAAATGTTCTGTTTTCAAAAAAGAGAACCACAGAGGAAATTTTGAGATCCTGATTGACAACAGATTCCTTCTTGAATCTATCCAAAATAGCCAGTCCCTTAATTGCCTCTTGTTCATGCCCAATACAGAGTTCAGCTCAGGGAAATAGTAACTATTTAGAAGAGTACAGTGCTGGAAGACAATCAATTGATAAAGTGGCAATTTGGAATACCTTAACTGGGCACAATCTGTTCTTGTTTTAACTGACAGCCAACATGACTCAGTGTGCAAAAAAGCTGCAGGAGTTCCAGTTGGAAGAGAATATTAATAATAATAAAAAGTTTCCTGTTATTTTCTTTGCTAAATCTGAGTTGAGTAATTCAAGTACTACAATTTAAAGAGAAGAGCACAATTGCAACGCCCTATCTTTTTCTAACTCAATAAACACACTTCATGGGTAAAACCAGAAAGAGATTATCAGAAAGATCAGCACAGCAGCCCATACTTTGCTAGATCTAAATTAACAAGCCAAGTTTCACTTCTATACCCACTTCGGATACACCTCCTTCCTCCCTTCCACATTTCTTTCCCATGAGTGTCAAGGAGCTATATGACTTTGGTTCACACACAACAATCCTGCGCAGCTGCTCATTCCCTCCTCACAGACTCATACTCTCAATATGGCTAAAGCACAGCTAAGCAGGCCTAACCTGACATGACAGAGAGAACTATGAAGAGTGATTCTGACAAAAACAATGTGAGATTACTGTAGTATTTATGCATTCATAAAATAAAAGTTGGTAAACCTTGATCACATGGGGATGTTGGTGCTGACTTCGACCTGTCATCTTCTGGTGAAGACCCAGGAACTGGCGGTTGAGTTTCTGCACCTGGAACGAGCTAAGAATAGATCAACAATAGAGATACTTAACCACTGCAAGGTGTTCTACTGATACAACTTTTATCAGTGAGCAAAGAACAAGGGCTGGTATGGGGAGGTGAAGCTGATACAAATTACCATGACCTGGAAATTTAGAAAGGGGCCCAGAATCCAACTATATTGCACATATTTTTGTCTTTCTCAGGAGTGACATTGACTTTTTTTTTTAAAGCATCTGGTGTGAAATTGGTGAATTTCAAAGAAAACAATAATGATATAAAAAAGTTTGTTTCTTACAAAATACAGATGTTTAGCTTGCCCTTCCTTGCTGCAAGGAACAGGACTGGGGCCCAAATGAGGAAAAGGAAGCCTCTGGTGAACAAAAGTAGCTCCAGTCGTAGAAGTGGCATCAATGGTAGTAATCACAGGTAAAACACAAGTCCTCTGATAATGGCAACAGTAGTTGGAAACAGAAAGCTATAGGTCATTAGGCCACTGTGGCCTCAGATGCTGGAGGAGGAGCAGATGGGTAGCTGCTGCTCTTCCTCAACACCTCCATGGCCCAGATGACCAACATTCAGAAAACAAGCTCGCTCCATCTTTTATATGACGATACCTAAGTATAAGAGAACCATTACCTTCCTGTATGAACCCTAAGTTACTTATTTATATTCCACCAGTATTAGATGCATTGTATGCCTGCATAGCCAAATACAGTCTTTTTTATTCATTACAGGACCAAGAATTTATGAAACCCCACTCAGATACTGATGTTACTATAGCTAAGATCCACAGAGGAGGCTTTCTAAGGACAGCTGTAAGACTATAGGAGACAAGAGCATGAAAATACTATACATATCTACCTGAGAAAAAATTCCTACAGTATTCAGTGGGACTTTTTTTCTGAACAGACATATAAAGGATTTCATTGAAACTATGTGTGTATGAGACAGACCAAAATTTATTTATTTTTGCCCCAATGTAAAAGGGATTACCTCCTGTGATGTGTATTTGCAAACATCTGATGAATTGACGAACATCTTTTTGAAGAATGCTTTCTTACTGCATTTCCATCATTGGAACATCACAGAGGGTAGGGAGGAACATCTGGCAAGCAATGATCTCATGCCAGTTTTTCAACTAGATAAGAATTATTTATGTTCACATGTGTTCCCACAAGGGGACATCAAAGTAGTGGCTTTGAAGTTTACATGGCTTTCTGACAAGAACGATCCCTTCTGACAACTGAAAAATAATAAAGCCCTTCATGACTTCATTATGACTGGGGTCAAATCAGTCAAAGGGACAAGTTGCATGTTCTGCTTAATGCAGATCATGAAGCTCTGTCTTCTATTTTATTTATGTAATTGTAGACAGAGGGGGAATTTCAGGAACATTATCGTGATGGGAAATTTGTCCTTTTCCTCCCTTGCTGCCTTCACCCTGCTCCAAAAAACAAAAACAAAATCAGGCTTCCCATATGGCTAGGAACCTTTTGCATCAGTGGAAACTATTAAAAATATCATGTTTTTATCTGCATGTAAGGAGGTATTTTCAAGGGGTGGCTAAAGAAAGAAAAGCTAAACCTCTCCTTCTCACACAGTAAGTCCTCCTTAAACACCCCTTTGTCCCACATGTATTACATTACTCCACATGTAATAGTTTGCACTCAACTCAGCATAAGGAAGAGAAGAGAAAGGAACAGAATCTTGCCCTTCCCAGCAGCCCCTCCTAGCCTGCATGCTCTTTCTTATTAATAACTTATAGCAACCCCATGAATTTCATAGGGTTTTCTTAGGCAAGGAAGACTCAGAGGTAGTTCTACCAGTTCCTTCCTCTGAAAGATAGCCTACAGCACCTGGTATTCATTGCTAGTGGCCCATCTAAGTACTAACCACAGCTGATCCTGCTTAGCTTTCAAGATCAGATGGGATCAGTTGTCTTTAGGATACTTAGTCCAAACTGATATTTAGAAATATGAGTATCTGCCAGTCCTGCTGTTGTGCTCAATGACATTCTTAATCTGTTCCATTTCTATGCCAGCTGATGAGAGTGTGTGTTTGTGTATTTGCACACATTTTTTTTCTTTTATATACATTTCTGTATGCACTTCTACATTGACAAATTGAAGGAACCAGGATGAAGGATCTTATTTCACAAAGTATAAAAGAGCATCAGCTGCCACTTGTTTTAAAGGGCTTCTTTGATTACCTTCTTTCTCCTTTGTCCACTATTAGTGATCTTATCTGGAGTGACGCCAAGATCTGCAAGAACTTTAGCTATTCCTCTTGCATCCACTCCACAGTTTGGTGCCACATTTGTTTCACAGCGTCTATGTACATTCATCTTGCAGACTGCAATTTAAACCAAGAGAACGAAGTAGTTGGGGGGTGTGGAGAAGAAAAACTAAGAAAAATGTCTTAAGATATCAATACCTACCATAATTCTTTAATGTATATACATCAAGGTCATGGAAGACATCAACATTCCCTGTAATGCATGGGTGAGAAAAGTGTAGTCCTTGGGATGCATGCAGCCCTTCAGGGACATTTTTCTGCCCCCCCCCCCGGGTCAAAATAATACTATGCAAATGACAACTCGGG